GGAAGAGGAAAAGGGCCGTCTGTGATCCTCCTCTCTCTCTCCCTGCCCCCCCGCGGGGGCGCCGGGGGCTTAGCTACCTCGCCCCGTGGCGGGCCTCTCCCTGTTATTCTGTCGTGGTCTCCTCTTTTCCTCTTCAGATGCCATGGTTTGATCGCCCCCACCCCAGGGGCCGTTGAATACAGCCCGAGCTCGAGGAGGAGGATGAGGAGGAGAGGAGGAGGAGGAGGAAGAAGGATAGAAGGACTGACGATGCAATCCGTTCCGATTGAGGCCCGACCAACGCAAACAGAAAGGAAGAGAAGGAGGAGAACAGACGCTGCAATCTAGGCCGACTCAAGTCCGACGACGCAAATTGAGGATGAGGCGGAGGAGGTGGTGGAGGCGGAGGACGAGGACGAGGAGGAGGAGGAGGAGGAGGCTCACATGGGCGGAGGAGGCGGAGGAGGAGGAGAAGGAGGAGGAGGCTGAGGAGGCGGAGGCGGGCAGAAGGCGGAGGCAGAGGAGGCGGAAGATGCGGAGGCGGAAGATCGCAGAGACGGAGAAGGACGCAGGAGGAGGAGGAGGAGGAGGAGGAGGAGGAGGAGGAGGAGGAGGAGGAGTGAACAGGAGGAGGAGGGGAGGAGGAGGAGGAGGAGGAGGAGGAGGCGGAGCAGGAGGAGGCGGCGGCGACGCTCCTCAGGGGTTCGGTGACGGGTCGAACCAAGGAGAGGTGTGGGGCAGCAGGAGCAGGAGGAGGAGGAGGAAGACGAGGAGGATCGCAGCCCCCGCGCGCCGCCGAGGGTCCTCGCCCGGGTCGTTGCACGGCCCGTGGCCTCCGCGGCGGTCAGCCCCCCCCCCCCGTGGTCGCCTCCTCCTCCTCCTCCTCCTGCTCCTCCTCATCCTCTTCCTCCTTTCTCCTCCTCATCCTTCCTCCTCCTCCTCCTCCTCCTCCTCCTCCTCCTCCTCCTCCAGCTCATCCACTCCACCAGAGGGAGCAGACCGTGTCACGAACGTAACCACGCTGAGGTCCGCTCGGATTCCTCGGATCGCCGCCGGATCCCCTGCCCGGCGCGCGGAGCGCGCATGCGAGGGCGTCGGAGGCGCCGCCAGGGTGACCCAGCGCCGGTCCGAGGAATCCGCGTGGACCTCCGCGCGGGTACGTTCGTGACACGGTCTGCTCCCCTGTACTCCCCCCCTCCCCTCACCTCGGCGTGACCGAGGAGGAGGAGGAGGAGGCGGAGGAAGAGGAGGTGGAGGAGGAGGTGGAGGAGGGGGTGGGGGAGGAGGTGATGGAGGTTGAGGAGGAGGAGGAGGAGGAGGAGGAGGAGGAGGAGGAGGAGGTGGAGGAGGAGGAGGAGGGAGGAGGTGGAGGAGGAGGACGAGGAGGAGGAGGAGGAGGAATGAGGAGGAGGAGGAGGAGGAGGAAGAGCAGGAGGAGGAAGAGCAGGAGGAGGAGGAGGATTGGAAGGAGGAGGAGGAGGAGGAGGAGGACGACGGGTCGCCTAAGCCCTTCGGAGAAACCCTCCACCTCGGCGCGCCTCCCCTCCCCTCGAAGGGGTGCAACGTTCATCGGGCATGCAAAATAGATGCCTCCCAAACGAGGTCCGAGTCGATGGGGTCGGAGGATCGCGCCGAATCGCTGATACATCGCCGGTGCATCGACGATACATTGGCGACGTTGGCGACGCATCGGCGACGCCGGCGCGGAGGAAGTCGGGGCTCCACATGTGCATCCCCGATGCATCGGCGATTCGGCGCGATCCACCGACCCCGTCTGCTCGGACCCCGTCTGGAAGGCCTAGACGAAAAGGTCGGCCGACTTCGCGGAGCGAGCAGCACAAATCGGGCCGCGGACCGGCGCAAACGAGAGAAGTGCGGCGGGAGAAGCCGAGGAGGCGGCGCGCCTCCTCCCCCTCCTCCTCCGCCGCCCCCCCTCCGCTCGCCAGCGCTCGGGCGTCCCTCCCCCGTGCGCGTGTTCGGTGCCTCGCGCCTGCTCCCTGCTGCCGGCTGCGATGCCAGATGCTCCCCGACGGTCACCTCGCCGAGGAAGGGAAAGGCACACGTCCGAGCGATGCCAAGGCTCCACTCTGCGCGCCTCCCTCGCCTCGGCTGGGAGTGGGTGCGGCCCCAGGGATCGGCTGGTGGTGGTGGTGGTCGTCGTCGTCATCGTCGTCGTCGTCGTCGTCGTCGGCGTCGGCGTCGGCGTCGGCGTCGTCGTCGTCGACAGCAGCGGAGGGCCAGGCCGCCGCGCGCCCGCGCGCCCAAGGAGGGGGGCGGGGGAGGGGGAAGCGGGGGGTCGAGAAGCGAACAGGAAGCCTCGGGACAAGGTGAGCGCTGCACCCGAATTTGAGACCCCCGCCCGGCTTCCAACAAACGTTGGGGTTCCCGAACTGGGGAGCAGGAGGAGGAGCAGGGGGGGAAGAGGGAAGAACGGGGGGGACAAAGAGGGGGCGCCTGAGAAGAGGAGGAACTGGGAAGAGAGGGGGGTAAGGACATTTTGATTACAGAGCGACTCGGAGCCGATGCCACCACTCTGAACCTGTGAACCCTTCCGAAGCGAAGCACTGCAGTCGGACCTAGGCCACACTAACATCCCTGAAGCTGGGGACTCACTGACCAGGGTCACTGTAAACTTCGCAGGATTCTTCAAGATCCTACAGGATCCTGCAGGATGCTGCACCAAAGCTCGGGTCAATGCGACCCTGGCCCTGCAGGATCCTGCAAGATCCGGCGCTCTCCGGTTTGCATTGACCCCCGTCGTTTTAACCCCGATCAGAAACACAAGACACTCCGCAGGTCAAAACAGAGTAGTACTCTGAGAGTACCCTCCCCAGGGTGCACAAGAACATCCAACAAACACGAAGAACGCTACCATCCCCAAAAGAGCAGGGGGGCAGGGAGGGAGGGGGGAGGGACAAGCTAGGTGCGCTCAAGTCTCCACCTACACCTCCCTCCCGTCCCGTATCATGGCCTAGATCTCCTCTCTATTCGCACAGTCGGATGTTGTAGCAGGGCGTAGCAGTACGCGTGGGCCATCCTCAGTATCATCATCATCAGCAGCAGCATCAGCATCAGCATCAGCATCAGCATCAGCATCAGCATCAGCATCAGCATCATCACCATCACCATCACCATCACCATCACCATCACCATCACCATCACCATCACCATCATCTGCCTCAGCACCAGCACCAGCACCAGCACCAGCACCAGCACCAGCACCAGCACCAGCACCAGCATCAGCATCAGCATCAGCATCATCATCATCATCATCATCATCATCATCATCATCATCATCATCATCATCATCATCATCATCATCATCATCATCATCCCTCCAACCTCCTCTGCCTCCTCCTCCTCCTCCTCCATCGCTGCTCCCTCCTCGGTCCTCGACCCTCCCTCACTCCCCCTCACCTTCCCCCTCTTGCCCCCCCTCCTGCCCCTCCTCCTCTCCGCTTCACAGGTCAGAACGGACGGGAACGAAGAGGGAGGAGGAGCAAGGAAGAGGGGGGCTCGCGAAGGACCCAATGGTATGCGGCTGCGAGTGCCGCACAACTCCGAATAGCGCACAAGGTGTGGGTTTTGCTCTCATGGGCAGCGCGCCGCAGGAAGGACGAGGCGCGGGGCAATGCGGGCAAAAGGGAGGGGAACGCAACGGGAGGGTCGACCCGTAAACTCAATCACCAGGTCGTGAGGCCTGCCCTGCTATTTGGGAGCACAGGGCACCCACGAAGCAACTGACGGGGGGCGAAGGGACCTGGGAAGCGCGAGTCGCGATGCCAGGGGCGGCGCGCGAGCCTGGCCCGCCCCCCCCCCCCATGGGGACACGCAGCGTGCGAGGGGTGTGCCGAGATGGGCCGGGCGGACGCACGCGAACTCACCACGGGGGGCCCGCGGTGGAGCTGCCCACGGGGCGAAGCGTGCGAGGGGTGCGCCAAGGAGGTGTTGCGTGCCTGGCCGTGGCCGCGAGGCTCACAACCAGGGCGCGGAACGGTGAGGGGCGACGACAGGGGGGGAGACTGGCCAAAGGGGGGGTACAGCGGTCTGCCCTGTGCGATACATATCTCGGAGGCCACATGTGAACCCTGCCCCACCACCCCACGAGTTCTGAGGGGGAAGGGGGGGGGCACTTCGTTCGGGGCCTCCCGAGCGAAGTGAACCCCACTTCCCCCTTTAGAAATCGTAGGGTGGTTGGGTAGGGTCAGCATGTGGCCTTCTAACATCGCCGATCGATCGGCGATACAACTGGACTCGATTGGCCAGGACACGCGAGATAACACAAGGCCCTTCCGAGGGCCACATTGCCATAGGAATGTGGTCGCGAGACACAGGACACGAGGGTACCCTTGATTTGACAAGGTCGACCTGCTAATCAGGGTTGACTGTAGGCCCCCATCGCAAATCACCGCGCTCCTAGGCGGAGTGGGGCTATCGGGCCCTGACCGGCGATCAATGGGCGATCGGGGGTCGATGCGTCCCCCCCTATACCTACCCCCCCCCTATCGTTGCCCCCTGGTTTTCGGGTCATAACTCGACTCCCCGACGGCCGACCGGGACGACCCTGGAAGTCCCGGAACGCTCTCGGCGAGGCGCTGCTGCTGAACACATCCCGAAGCAGGAAAACCTCCAAGAACCGACGAAAACGTCCGAAGACCTCGTCCCCGCCCTACAGTCATACCGTATGGCAAGGATGCGCGATACGGATGCAAGGGCATTGGACGCCCATCTCGAAGCTTTTCGAGCCGGGCGCGGCCAACGCAAGTGGCGAAGGATAGACCGAGGAGGCATGGATGCAAGGATACCCTTGGGAAGGTTGCCCATCCTTACTAGGCGGGTTGACTACAGGGCAGTTTTTAATACATATGACTTTTTAATATTGGATTTTATCAACTTAGGAATAAAATCATGCATGAACTCATCGTTGTTTTTAATGCTAAATCACTGCGTTTTTAATACATGATTCGCACGCGGAGCATGTATCAAAACTGGCACTGTAGGCGGGCTGACTATATCGTTGCCTCTGGAGCAGCTCGACGGGACGGGGTGGGCCACGGGCCTTCCATGTCCTCGTCCTCGTCGTCGCCGCCGCCGCCGGGCTCCTCCTCGTCCTCGCTGGCCGGCGCCTCGGCGCGGAGGCGGAGGAGGACGAGGAGGAGGAGGAGGAGGAGGAAGAGGAGGAGGAGGAGGAGGAGGGAGGAGCGAGGGAGGGAGGTGGACAAGGCAGGGATGGAGCAAGCGAGGGAGGGCAGAGGAGGGGAAGAGGGAGGGGGAAAGTGGGCGCGGAGGGTGGGGGAAGGGGAGGGAGGGAGGGAATAGCAAGGAGAGATGAGTGATGTGCTCTTTGGTGCGCTCGCGACCGCCGTCTGAGCTTGGGGCTATTAGGAAGTCGGGAGGATCGGCGGCGGGCCTGGGGGAGAAGTGAGCAGGGGCGGGCCTCTTCAGAAGGCTCGGACCCCCCCGTGCCTTCTGAGGTTTTCGAAGACCTCCCCGAAGACACAGCATGCTTCTCAGGAGGCGCGAGGGCTTCTGTGAAATCACGCCGCTTTCCGAGAGGGCCTTCTCCTCCTCACTTTCTCTCCCCCTCGCTCGCCGCCGAATTGGCCTTTGGGTCGTGCCTCGGGTCTCCGGCGGGCGTTCGGGACGATCGTGGCACCCCAGAACGCCCGCGGCGAGACGCAGCTGCTGGCAGGTAAATACACACAAACACCAGGACCCCCAACATGTTTCCATTGCTTCTGGGCTTTCGTCTTCCCCCCCACTTAACATACTTACCCATATTTTCCTGGGGATCGGCGATTAATTGGTCTGTTGATTTTTCCACTCCTGAGTCTTAGAGGTGACTCGGGGCAGTCTTGGGCCGCCTGAACGGCTGCCTGACCCGTCTCGGAAGCGATGTTGGGCCGCCGTCGGGGGCATCTTGAGGCTTCTTGGGCCTCGCGGGAGCCGCGTGGTAGCGATCTTGAGGCCTCGGCGGCCAATGGGAGGCGGAGAGGCGAGCAAACACAAATCCTAGACTTTCCCTGGGTGATCCAAGACTTGTGCCTTGCCGGAGGTGCCCTGGAGGTCTCCTGAAGTCCTTTTGGGCTGTCTTGAGCGTCTCGTGAAGCGTCTGGAGGCTGTTTTTTTTGGGGGGGGGGGGCACTCGTGGTGTCTGAGGCGGAGGACCCCCTGGAATTCCCGGCGCTTCCCTGCGATATGTTCCAATGCAGGAGTTTAGTGCCAACCACACTCGACGACAGGCGCGGTGTCGTCTGGATTGCATTCTGAGCCGGGCTTCAAACTGCTGGAACCGAGTGCCTGGCAGACAAGAAGCGTCTGGAGGCTGTCTTGGGCCGTCTGAAACCCTGGAGGCCGTCTCGGGGGCAACTCGGGGCCCTCCGAAGCCCCTTTGGCCCGTTCGGGAGCGCTCGGAGGCGTCCGGGGCCCCCTGCGCCCCCCCCACGCGGCACTGCGGCAACGCCCTGGGCCCCCCCCACAGGCCTACATCTCTCTCTCTCTCTCTCTCTCTCTCGCTCTCTTTCTCTTTTTTGTGTTTTCTCTTTCTCTCTCTATATGTCTGTATGTACGTAGGTAGGTACGTACGTATGTCTGTCTGTCTGTCTGCCTGCCTGCCTGTCTGCGCCTGCCTGCCTGCCTGCCTGCCTGTATGTATGCATGTACGTATGTATGTACGTATGTATGTATATACGTATGTATGTATGTACGTATGTATGTATGTATGTATGTGCGTGCGTGCGTGCGTACGTGCGTGTATGAGTGTGTGTATGCATGTATGTATGTATGTATGTATGTATGTATGTATGTATGTATGTATGTATGTATGAATGTATGTATGTATGTATGTATGTATGTATGTGTGTGTGTATGTATGTATGGATGCGTGTATCTACGTATACGGGTATGTGTATTCATGTATGTGTGTATGTGTGTATGTAAATGTGTGTATGATTATGTGTATGCTTATATGTGTGCATGCATGCATGTGTGTATGACCGTGTGAATGTATGTATGTATGCTTCTAGGTATGTAGATATGTATGTGCGGCGTAGGTACGAACACATGCATGTGCATGTGTGTATGGATGTATGTATGAACGTATGCATGTATGTATGTATGTGTGTATGTATGTATGTGAGTATGTAGGTCGGTAGGGTAGGTTTGTAGGTACGTACGTGAGTAGGTTTATGTGTATATATACGCAAACGTGCATGCATGCATGTGTGTATGTGTGTGCACGTGCCAAATTATGAAGATGTGTATGCGTTTATGCATGAGCGCATGCATGCGAGGATGCATGCATGCATGTATGTATGTATGCTTGTATGTATGGCTGTATGCATGGGTGCATGTACGCATTCATGTATGTAAGGACAGATGCATGAATAGTTGCATGTTTGCATATGTGTATGTATGCAAATATGTATATGTGTATGCATGTATGTGTGTATGTATGCATGCATGTATGTATGTATGCATGTGTGTGCATGTATGCGTGAAACATGCATGCGTGTATGCATGTTTGCATGCATGAATGCCTGCATACATGCATGTATGTATACTCGCATGCTCATGTGTATCTACGTGTGTATGGATGTAACTATGGTTTGACGTATGTATGTATGTAGACAGGCAGATGTGCTGGACAGCGTGGGCTCCAAATCGGGAGCTCGGCCACATGTTGTGTAAGCTATGTGGCGCAATACAATCACATACGTATACACATAACTATATGTATGGCGTGCGCTATGCGATGCTGTCAGCTATGTGGTAAAAGCTATCTGGTGTACGCTAGTCGGTGCAAGCTAATTGGTGCAATCTAAGTGTTGTAGACTAGATGGTGTACGCAGTGTCGTGTAAGCGAAGTGGTGCAAACTGTGTGTGGTGTAAGTCCTGCGGGAAAATTATGCGAGGTAAGCAATGCGATGTAGGATGGATATGTGGTGCAAGCTGTTGTACAAGCTATGTGGTGCAAGCTAGTTGTGGGTTGGCTGTGCGGTGGAATATACGTGTTGAAGTATATGTTGTGTCAGCTGCATGGTGTAACGTATGTGGTATACGTTATGGGATGTAGCTGTGCGGTTCAAGTGTTGATGTGACACATATGTGGTGTAAACTATGTGCTGTTAGCTTTGGGGTATGATCTAGAATCTACCAGGTACGCAGTGTAAACTATGTACGGTGCAAGCTGTGTGGTGCAAGCTGTTTGCTGTAAGATAGGCGGCGTAAGCTGTGCAAGCTGTAGGCTAGGCGGAAAGAAGGTTAAATTATGTAGTGTAGGCTAGGCAATGTAATCTTATGTATGTTGTATCACTGTGCATCGTGTGCGCTGTGCGGTGCAAGCTAAGTGATACGAGCTACGTGGTGCACGCGATGTGGTTCGAGTCATGGGATGCCAGCTATGCTAGCTGTGTGGTGCAAGACCACGAGGTGCTCACGAGGCGCCCATGGGTGGGTATTAAAGTCGGGGATGGACAGACCCCCCTTTAGTAAAACGTCGTTTAGTGAAAACGACCTGAGGCCCAAACCTGGCGGGCGCAAGCCTGGGAAATAACGGCCACGGCGCCATCTCGAGAACCGAAAACGGACAATTCGCTAATCGACGTGTCACTGTTGGGGGTTCTCTCCACCCCCGATATAAGACAAACCTGGCCCACGCAGCCAGCGCACAAGGGCGCCCACAGGGCGTCCCCACAGGCGGGCGCTCGGCGAAGACCCCGAACCGCCCTGCCGGCGCACGCTGCGCCCACGAGGCGCCCGCGTGCGGGCTATACGGCAAGTTCGCGCGGAGAGGGCGCGCGGAAAAGTTTTTGACACCGCTCCGGTCAGTCAACCGTGAACCGATCGGGGCTCGGCGGTGGACAAACCTCCCTGTAGTAAACCTCCCCTTAGTCAAAACGGCCCGGGACCGAAACCGACGGCCCTGGACCCGCAAGAAGGACAGCCGCGACGCCCTCTCGCGGACCGAAAACGGCCCATTCCTGAATCGACGTGTCAGGGTAGGAGGTCTTTCCACCCCCGAGCGGCCCTGATCGTTCAAGGTTGAACTCCGTCGGGTCGCGTAGCGCCTCCGTGTCCCTCGGTGTTTCCGCGTCGTTCCATCATGCAGAGTCCAACCTTGAATGCCTTCGCCAGCGTCGGCAGCGCGCCAGCGCCGCACGAACCTTTCGAGTAGGGGATCGACTGCAGAATTGATTTGCCCCAGAATTGATTTTCCTTGTCGAATCCACGGGCATCTCGTAGAACTTTCGCAGATAGACGAATGGTTGACGTGTATTTTTGTTGAAGAGTCGACGTGAAAATCAACGTTGGGATAAATTAAAGAGCCGAACTCTATACACCGACGCTTTTTCCGGCCCGTCACTGAAGTGCGCACAGGAGTGCGGATCCTGGTGTATAAAAATCCTGGTGTATACATGTTCGATGTTCCCCCCCCCCGGAAAAGGCGAAACAAGTATACACCACACCAGCGCGACGTCGTCCCCGACCCTCAAAAGTTCTGGGATTGAAGTACAGCCCGCCACTGGTAATGTACATGTTCCAGCTTCCGATAAATCGATTCTGTTGTCGATCCCCCGGTCGAGTCTTCAGCAGCCTCGACCCACCCAGCCATCTCACTGGGCGCCCACGAAGCGCCCTGCAGCAGCCCCGCCCACCCAGCACGGCAAGTGCAAGAGGGGGCGCTCGCGAGGCACCACCCACGGCAGGACACCTGGTGAGACCCCGCTTCCCAGGCCACGTGGGCGTCGGTCGGAGGAAGCAGGTCAAAACACGAAGCAGGACGGCGGATCGAGTAGATTGGGTTCAGGCCCTCCCCAATAATGACAGGACACTTCAGAACCGAGCCGATTCTTGAAGTAGGAAGGCGCTAGAAGTAGACGGGGCTCTGGGAATCCAAAAATACCTACTCTTAACGGCCAGCGTGACATCAGAAACTTACACCGGAACCTCATATCGCAAGCACATGTTGGGGCGGACTTGGACAATGTTCGGGGTCGTCTTGCGCCGTCGAGGGCTCCTCTGCAGGCTCTCTTGAGCCACGATGTCTCGGCCCCCCCTGGAGCGACCTGGAGGCGGCCCGAAGGACTTTCTTCCTCTTGGGGCCCACTTGAGGACCTCGTGGTGACCTCTCTGGAGTACTTCTGGGGCCTCTTGGTGTCCTCTCGGACCGTCTGCGAGCTCTCTTGGGCCGCCTTGAGTCCCAGTTGGCCGTCCCGGGGATCTCGTGGAGCCCTCCTGGGCCGTGCTGGGATCCTCGACCCTCCCCGTCGTCGCAAGCCTTGGCCGGAGAGCTCGCCTTCTTGGCGGGCGTCGGCGTCGTGGACTTGCCCTGGGTCGTGGACTCGGCCCGGGTCGTGGTCTCGGCCTTGGTCGTGGAGTCGGCCTGGGTCGTGGACTTGGTCTCCGACTTGCTGGTGGCCGCGGCGTGGCCATCGCCCTTGTCCAAGTCCTGGGCTCGGAGGCCGACGACGCAGCACGTAAAGACGACCGCCGCCAAACGCCTTCCGTGCTCCCCCCCTCCTGGTACTCCCCCTTCCTCCTGCAGCCTGCTTCTCGAGGCCCGCATCCTCCCAGCTCCTCCCCCTCCTGTTTCCCCCATATGTTCCCTCTCTTTCCTCCTCTCCTCCTATCCCTCTCACTCATCTTCCTCCTTTTCCGCATCATCCTCCCCTGTCATCCTCTTCCTTATCTCTCCTCCCTCTCTTCCTCCGTTCTTCTCCTCCGCTTCCTCCTCCTCCTCCGCCTCCCCCCTCGAATCCCACCAGCCCTCCTCGGCTTCCTGGACGGGGGGGGGGGGATAGAGGTTACAGTAGGAGCTCGACCACAAGAAACCTTCCCCACAAGAAACCCGGCCTTGATTCCCTGGGATGTCCATTGACTTTTGGTGTGGAAACGCCACGCTCCCCGTCGCACAACATCGGAACCCAAGAAACCCAGAACACACACCCTCGAGGCACGCAGGGTGCTTCTTGGCATGGGCTTCCGCTTCAAACTGCAGAGGGTCCAAGATGGCCTTAAGCTCTAAGGTGGCTTCGTGCACCTCAAAGCTGCCTTCAGGACGGCGGCGACCGCGTGGCGCAAGGAGGGCGGCTCTCGGCGCCTTCCTCCCCGGCGATGGGCCACGGAGACGGCCGCGGGGGCCAGAAGAAATAATGCAAAGCTCGCCGCTCGACCTCGTCGTCCTCCTCCTCCTCCTCCTCCTCCTCCTGTCTCCTCCTCCTCCTCGGAGGAGGAGGACGACGACGACGACAACGCAAACGAGCGTGCAGCTCTCGGGACACGTCGGCCTGGCCAGCGGCCCCCGAAGTCACTGAGTAATGACTTCTCTGGAGTCCGAAGAGGCCCAACAACGCCCAAACATCATATATTCTCTCTGCATCACTCCTCCTCCTCCGAAGAAGAAGAAGAGGAGGAGGAGGCCGACACCGACGACGCAACCAGATCCACTCAAAGTTGGATCCTGGACCCACGCCACTTTCAGGGTCCGTCCTGGCCAGCTTCTCGAGCCGCTCCCAGCCGTAGCGACGACATTGATGACGCCGACCACGGGAGGGATGCTGCGACAGCGATGGCGACGACGCCGACGCCGACGAGGCCGACGCCGACGAAGCCGATGCCGACGAGGCCGACAAGGCCGATGCCGACGACGCCGCCCACGGCGGTCACGACCATGGTTCGGCGGCGAGCCCGGGGGGAAGGCAGAGGGGGCGGGCCTTCTCAACGGCACAGAAGGCCTCCGGCCTTCCGAGAAACTCTCGAACCGGTCTCCGAAACCCCGCCGCCTCCCTTCTCGCTTCTCCCCTCGGCGTGCTGCCGCGTTTGGCTTTCGGGTCGTAACTCGGGCCTCCCGCGGCCGCTCGGGACGATCCACGGCACTCCGGTGCGCTCTCGGCGAAGGGCAGCCGCTCGAACGCACGCCGAGGGTGGGCAACCGCCGAGAACCGGTGAAAACGCCTGGAGCCGCTGGCCTCGAACCCGAACCCCCAAAGCTTCCCCCCTCGGCGCACCGCCGAGCAGAAGCGGCGGAAACGCCCAGAGCCTGCAGTCTCGAACCCGAAACCCCAGAACTCCCAACCCCGTCGGCGCGCCGCCGAGTGGCCTGCTGGCAGAGGCCGTGAGCGGCGGAGGGCAAGCGTGCGTGCTCACGCCCCGGAGAGAGGCCGCCCGGAACGCTCCCTCTCCGGCCTGGGGGCCGCAGTCCCGGGCCCATCACTGCACCCACCTTGCAGGACGTGCTCCAGCGGATTCGTTGGCGCAGAGTTGCTGCCAGTGCAAAACCCCGAGACGGCGAGCGAAACACGGAGCGAATTTCACGTGGATGTTTTTTGTTTAGTCTTCATTCCGGGCCAAACAAAAATCCGCACGAAATTCACGTCGAAGTCCGGAACGAAATTCTCCAGGACACTCAGGGCCCATCCCATTGTTTTCCGAACGAAATTCGCTCTGCGATGTTGGCGCCATGATGCCGAGACTGGAAGGGGCTCAAGCCTCTGATGGCCGCACCCAGCCGCCTTCGTGTCGCGAGGCCACGGCGCAGCGCAGAGAGGAGGCGGAGTTGTTTCCCCCGTGGGTGGACTGGGGCCTAAGAGAGGAGGCGGTGGAGGAGGAGGCGGAGGAGGAGGAGGAGGAAGAGGAGGCAGAGCGTGGACGTCAAGGGGGGCGATGAGGAAAAGGGGGAAAATCATTCACTGCGTGGAGCTCCCCAAATGTACATCTATTAGCATGGACCTGTCCGCCGTGAGCGTCTAGGCGCAAGAGTTTCCCAAGATTCACGGGCTTAAGATTGACGGTCTGGGAGTGAATCCGCCGACCCCTTGTGGGTCTCTAGGCGTGTGAGATAGTTCCCCCCCCTAACCCCCCCCCTGGGACCCCAAACCGGAGATTCGACCCCCCCCCCCCGGGCCCACGACGAGCGCATCACGGGGCTCTTTTGGGCCCAAAAGGGGATCAAGACGGGCCAAGAAGGCCCCAAGACTCCTCCAAGACGGCTCACGAGAGCTCCGAGGCGCCAAACGAGCGCTCCCAGACGCCCAAGATGCCCCCAAGACGAGCCTAGAGGCCTCCAAGACGGCCCAAGAGGCCTCCAAGAGCAGTCCTCAGAAGGGCCGAAGCGCCGAAAATCGTCAAATTCCTATGGGAAAACGTACATTTTGATCTACTACTTGTCGGCCTTCACGGCGTTGAAGACGGTCCCAGAGCACCCCAAGACCGCCCCGAGAGGCCCCCAAGAGGCGCCCAAGTCGGCCCAAGAGGGCGCCAAGACGGCCCAAGAGGCCCCCAAGACAGCCCAAGAGGGCCCCAAGACGGCCCCAAGAGGTGCCCAAGAGGGGGAGCCCGAACCGACAATCCGAGCCTTCCGCCCCAAGACGGCCCCGGCCCCAGCCCCAAGAGGCCCCCAAGACGCCCACAGGAGGCCCCAAGAGGCCCCCAAGAGGCTCCAAAACGGTTTCAAAACGGCCCCCAAGAGGCTTCGAAACTGCCTCCAAGAGTCCCGCGAGAAGCCCCCCAAGAGATCCCAACGATCACCGCACAAGTCTCACATCAACAACCCAGGCACGGTGGCAGGGTTGCGTTTGCGCACAAAAACGGGTTCGCGCTCTCGAGGCCAAGATTGCTCCAAAACGTCCCACGATGGTTCCAAAACGGCCCAAGATGGCTCCAAGACGGCCCAAGACAGTTCGAAGACGGCCCAAGATGGCCTCAAGATGGCCTAAAAGGCTTTCACTATCGCCCACGAGGTCTCCAAGAAGACCCCCAGGACATCTGAAAGAGGCGCGCATCACGCATTTCATTACATTTCCATTGCGTCGTTGAACACGTTTGCAATTGTTGCCTTTTCCCGACTTTCGCCGGCTCACGTAGCCCAAAGAACCTCCAAGATCGCCCCACGGCGCCCCACGATGGCCTCAAGACGGCCCCAGAGAATCCCAACACGGCCCAGGACGCCTCCCAATTCGGCCTAGGACGACAAAACCTGTCCCCAAATTGGTCCCAAGCTGGTGCAATACGCCTCTAACCCAAAACCCATAACCCAGAGCCTTGTTGCTGTGTCCCCTTCCTCCTTCTCCTCCTCCTCCTCCTCCTCCTCCTCCACCTCGGCCGCCAAGTGGGTTCAAAACTGCTTTCCAGAGGTCCCCGAGAGGCGTGCCGCGAGATCCCTAGACACATACAAAACGCCTCTAACCCATAGCACATATCCCAGAGTTTCGTCTCTGTGTCCCCGTCCTCCTCCCCCTCTCCTCCTCCTCCTCCACCTCCTCCTCGTCCACTCCTCCTCTTCCCCCCCGCCTCATCCCCTTCCCCCCCGATTCTCCCCCCCCCCCATCCTCCGCCTCACCCCCTTCCCTCTCTCCCCCTCCCCCCTGTCCTCCCCCGCACGCGCGCCCCCGATTGGGCATCATTTGCAGGTCTCCCATATCGGCGTGCCCTTTGTTTGCATCGCTTTGCGACGAGGACGACGACGACGACGACGACGACGATCACGACGAGGACAACGTCGACGACGACTGCGACAACAGGTCCTACTAGGACTCTTCAAGACGACCACTTTTCCGAGGATGTCTCAAGCGAGAGCCTCCATCTTGGAGATCCGAAGATTAGGCCAGCGATTTCAACATCCACATTTTGCGAGGATGCCCCCAACGAGCATTACAAGCACCCCATGCTTTATTGAACGTTTCGAAGGCTCGCGCGTCTGCGGATTCCCGACGCTTGCGCCTCCTGGGCCTCCAGTCGTGCCAGAGCCGTCTCCTCATCCGCCCCAAAGGCCGCCATGAGGCCTAAGAACTGATAGCGGCATTGAGGACCTGGCTGATGATGCTGTTTTGGGCATGATTCTGACTATGATGATGTGATGATGTGGGTCATGAGTATGATGACGATGATGGCGACAACGACGACAATGATTATGACGAGGATGATACCGATGATGATGACGATGCTGCTCAGCATGATGATGATGGTGGTGATGATAAGGATGATGATGCTGATGATGATGATGGTGACGGTAATGAAGATGATGATGATGGTGGTAACGATGATGATGAGGACGAAACGCCCAGTGAGGACGCGGGGGAACACCAACCGAACCACCGCTTCGGCCGCACGTAGCGTCCTAGCTCAGCCCCCGTAGGTCACGCGATGGCCTCGGGCTCGTAACGTGCCTGGACCTAGCAATGCGAAACAAACCGCGAACACCTTCTCGGTTCCCAAGCGTGTGAGACTCGTCCCCTCCACAGCCCCGAGGTTCCCCGTGCGGGCTGAGGGATGCCCCAAAAAACAACCCCGCCTCACCAAAGAAGTCAAACCCAGCAAGAAATATACGGGCCCCAATCCAACGCTTCCACCCTTTGGGCATCTCCAGAACGATGCCAAAATTGCATTAGCGTCCTTTCTTTTCCGATGGGCCCCCCAGGGCCTCGAGATGACCCCAAGCGGATTCCACATGGC